CCCGCAGGCCACCAGCTGCCGCCACCCCGCACCAGGCCCCTCGGCCTTATTCTTCAAAGTCCTGCTTTGAACTTGAAACCGGCAGTAAATTCCCTCGTGCCTGGAGTCTGGGGAGAGGACCAAGCGCCAAGAGAGGGTTAAGTTTCTTGCTGCCCTTTGCTTTCTTGGGGGCTCCCTGGACCAGGCTGCTCCATGCCAGGGGCGGGGGCGGCGGGGGGGGGCGCCCAGGCCCTGCCCTCAGGGAGCTTCGGGGCCCCAGGGGTGTGACGGGGGAGCTGGCCAGGTCTGGTGGCTCTGAGAGAACAGGTGGGATGGGAGACCATCAGGTCCCAGCTGTTTCTGCCTCAGCCCTTTGTCATCCTTTGGAGAAACAGGCCCGGATAGGGGAAGGGGCTTGGCCAGGCCTGGCCCCGCTGTTACTAATGGCTCCCTGGAGGGAACTGGGCTCTGTCCCGCTTTTCCTTGCCTTCCCGAGCCCAGGCCTCCAGAGGCTTCCCAGCACGAGTCGGGCATTTGACGAGGGTCTGTCCCCATGAGGCTGGGGCAGCTGAGGGCACCGAAGAGGAAAAATGAAGCGAAACCCCCCAAGCGCAGTCGCCGCGGGCTTGCGACCTGGATTTGAGCAGCTGTTGGAACAACTGGTCTCTGGGCCTGTGACCTTGGGAGGGACGGGGCAGAAAGATTACCTGAGGTCTGCCTGGCCCGGGACAGCTGGGGAGGGGGACAGCTGGGCGGGCAGCTTCTCGCCGAGAATAGCCACGCTGGGTCCCCCTCGACCTGGGACCCTCTTCTGGGCTCCAAGCAGAGACCAAGTAGGCCCAGGTGCTTACCTGCACCACAGCTGCCCAGGTCAGTTCGTGGACATCACGGAGCCCCGGGGCACAGGGAAGTGTTCTAGAAACGGAGATGGGAAGGGCACGTGCCACGCACGCGAGCGTGGGGGTGCCGACAAGGGGGAGGGCTCTGAGCCAGACCAGGTGGGCCTGACACCTGCCTGGGCACCTTTGGACAAGAGTCATGACCCCTGCTTCCTAATCTGCACGATAAGAATATAACGTAGAGGGCGCCTGGGTGGCTCAGATGGTTAAGCGTCTGCCTTCAGCTCAGGTCATGATCCCAGGGTCCTGGGACCGAGCCCCACATCCGGCTCCCTGCTCGGCGGGAAGCCCGCTTCTCCCTCTTCCACTCCCTCTGTTTGTGTTCCTGCTCTCGCTATCTCTCTCTCTGTCAAATAAATAAATAAAATCTTAAAAAAAAAAAAAAGAATTTAGGTTTGTCAGAAAACTGAGATACTTAAAGGAAATCAAACATATTAAATTTATAAATGTAGTTTAAAATGTTTAAGAGATTTTAATTATACTGTATCTAAAAAGACCTTTAAAAGTATCAAAGGGCACCTGGCTGGCTCCGTCAGAAGGGCATGCAACTCTTGATCTCAGGGTTGTGAGTTCAAGCCCCATGTTGGGTGTTGAGATTACTTAATAATAATAATATAAATAAATAAATACATGTAGGGATGCCTGGGTGGCTCAGTAGGTTAAGCGTCTGCCTTTGGCTCAGGTCATGATCCCAGGGTCCTGGGATCGAGTCCCACATCGGGCTCCCTGCTCCTTGGGAGCCTGCTTCTCCCTCTGCCTCTCTCTCTCTCTCTCTCTCTCTGTCTCTCATGAATAAATAAATAAAATCTTTAAAAAAAAAAAAAAGAATATAATGTAGAGGAAGTGTCCAGTCCGTCGAGGGCTGGGGCGCTGGTACTTCATAGATACCATCTGCAGTCTTAATAACCACGGCGTTGGCCCCCTGTTGATGGTCCCCGCGGCTCCTTGGGCAGCGTTACGAGGAGGGTGCGGGCTGGGCCATCTTCTCATTTGTGGCTTCCTCCACCTAGGACTGCTTTTCAGAGCAGCTTTTCCTAAAGAAGGTGCCCACCTCATCTGCGGGGAATGGACGGGGTTCCCAGATCCCTGCAGAGGCTCCTTATAATACAGGATTGTCCTAGATCAGGACTGAGGGCCCCCAGGAGTTCAGCCCGGGCACAGGGCACCAGCAGGACAAGGTCTGTGAGCTGGCGATTATTTTCCGTGGTTTATGCCACCTGCAGAGGGCTCAGCCACCTGCCTCGCTTTACCCAGGGGTGGAGCCCCTTGCCCGAGGTCATCGGAACCTGCCTGGAAGACTTTCTTCTGCCTCCTAGGACCCTTTGTGGGTTTTTTTCTTTTTTTTAAATTGTTAGGTCTTCGTATAAATCATTCTCATCGAAATAACACCAGGCAGGGCTCACTGTGCGCTTGTATGGGCCAGGCACTGAGAACAGCCCAGAACTAGGGTGCAGGTGAGGAGGAGCCCCAGGTAGGGCTAGAAGCTGCTGGCCTCTGGGGCTCCGGGGCCTGCTTCCTCAGCCAGCATGGCCTCTGCCTGGTGGGATCTCGGGGGTGGCAGAGAGCCTCGGGGGCCCTCCCCACCAGGGGTCTTCTCTAGATGGGACATGGAAGGGGGGACATCCCTACATAGGATGGAGTGAAAGATGAAATTGCTCCCTACTTGTAAGGAACTGCAGGGTTTGGCCAGATTCTGGAAAACGGGTCCATTCAAGGGAGCCCAAGGGATTGGGGGTGATTATAGTTTGAGGCTTCGCATGGCAGGTGCTCAGTGCCCGTTGTTTGGTTTGACTTTGTGCCCTACACCAAGAGCCGGAGGCTGTGGCCGGTGGGCTCTGCTGCCTCTTGCCTCGGAGCCTAGGTGAAGCACCTGATCTCTCCAAGCCTGTTTCTTCCTCTCGCAATCAGACATAACAAAATTATTTCACAGGATTAACCGGGAGGGTTGGATGAGCTCCTGCAGTAGGTCTGCCTCTCAGCGCAGAGCATCAGTGAACGGCCGTGATCACTGTGGTTGTCAGTCAAGTTCGGCAGCGAAGCCTTTGGATCTCCCAGCTCACAGCTGAGAGATCCCCTGGGTCAGGACCCCCATCCTGGCGGCCAAGGCCCTGGGTGCCACGTGCTTGCCCGTTACCACTGCCAGGGTCCCAGAGAGAGAACCCCTGTGCTTGGTCTCGTATGTCCGGCTTGTCCTTGGAGTTGTGTGGCTTCCCCAGCCCCCAGAGGGCCTGGCTTCCAGTGTTGACACACCATTCTGCCAGGCTGAGAGGAGGATGCTGGTGGGAGCCACTGCCCCACGGCCCCGGGAGGGACTAGAAACCGCAGCTCTGTTGGGCGTGTGGCGGTATCTGCTGGCCTCCCGTCCCCCATCTCTGTTTCATCCACGCTTCAGCCTCTGGAGTCAAGAAGGATGGGGCCTTCTCTGTCTGATGCTGCATCTGGTGGGAAGTGGGGGCGAGGCAGCCTGCAGACCTCCCGGTGCGAATGGGCGGGCTTCCTGAGCCCCATTGCGCAGGAGGCCCCCCTGAGAGGCCCAAGAGCCAGATAACGCACAAAGTACAAAGCACGAGCGTTCAAGCCCTGCTTTGTCTTTTATGAGTGACCTTGAGCTAGTGGCTTCTCTTCCCTCCCACTTCCTCATCTGTAGCCCATCAGAGCCCAGGCCCGGGAGGCAGGCCCCTTCCCTGGGTTTGAGTCCCGATTCTGCTATGTGGCCTTGAGCAAGGCTGTTACCTCTCGGAGCCTCAGGGTCATGCTTCCTCTAATGAGGGGCTGGGCCAGCGCACCCCTCGGCCCAGAGAGCCTGGAGTTCAGCCCCGGGAATGTCGGCAGAGATGGGCTTGCCTCCCGCTAACCTCCGCCCCCCGCTTTTCCTGCTCTATGCAGCTGCAGCTCAGGGAGAGGAGACTCTGGAGTGGAGCAAGATGGTTTTCTGGCCCCTTCCTTGGCCCGAGGTGTCTGTGGTTGTCACCAGCTGTCCAGGAACAGTCTGAGAGCCTTTTGTAGGGCCCCGAGCTGACTGGGGCAGAGGGGTGGGGGAGACACAGAGACCACTCATGAGATCTAAGGCCCACCTGGGGTCGTGGCTGGTGTCAGGTTAACAGCCAGGGGCTGGGGCCCACCGGGATAGGGAGGTGGCAGCTTGGAACCCTCGAGAAGGGGTTCATTCACGGCCCTCGATCTTGAGTGACCCTGAGCAGTGAAAGGTGTTGCTCCCGAGGAGGCATGTTGCTGAGCTTTTGAATCCTTGGAACCTGCCGGGAGGGGTTGGGAGATAGGGAGAGACCTTGGGTCGCCCAAGGCCCCACGGCCAGCCACGCCTGCCTCAGTTTCCCCACCCGTGAGCCGGCGCAGACACCTCCCTGTGCCCGCTCGGGCCCTGACCGCTTCCTCTCTCCCCCCACCACCCCGACAGGCTCCCCGCTGCACAAGCAGGCCTCCGGCCCGGTTGCCGCCGCCCCCGCCCCCGCCGAGAAGCCGGGCCCCAAGGCGGCCGAGGTGGGCGATGACTTCCTGGGGGACTTCGCGGTGGGCGAGCGGGTGTGGGTGAACGGCGTGAAGCCCGGCGTGGTGCAGTACCTGGGCGAGACGCAGTTCGCGCCGGGCCAGTGGGCCGGCGTGGTGCTGGACGAGCCGGTGGGCAAGAACGACGGCGCGGTGGGCGGCGTGCGCTACTTCGAGTGCCCGGCCCTGCAGGGTATCTTCACGCGGCCCTCCAAGCTCACCCGGCAGCCCACGGCCGAGGGCTCGGGCAGCGACGCGCACTCGGTGGAGTCGCTCACCGCCCAGAACCTGTCGCTGCACTCGGGCACGGCCACGCCACCGCTCAGCAGCCGGGTCATCCCGCTGCGGGAGAGCGTCCTCAACAGCTCGGTCAAGACCGGGAACGAATCTGGCTCCAACCTCTCGGACAGCGGTTCCGTGAAGCGTGGTGACAAGGACCTGCGCCTGGGAGACCGCGTGCTGGTGAGTTCCTCACCCCCACCGCCGCCCCGCCTTCCCTGCAGGCTGGACCCCGGGGGTGGGGGTGGGGGCGGGATGGGGACTTGGGGGGCTCGGGCGGGGCCCAGGCTGGGGCTCTCAGGCCTCATCAGAACCACAGAGTGACCGGGGACGCAAGTAAAGTGAGCTCTGGAGACTGTTGCTGTGTGATCCTGGGCAAGTGTCTTAATCTCTCTGGGCCTCAGTCTTCCCACTGATAAAATGGGTTGGAACGCGAGAATACGTGCGTGTTAGCTCTTGCTGATCTCCTCCAATGATCCAGCCCACCAGCGTGGATGCGCCCTGTACTGGAAGAGGCTGAGGACGGGAGCACTCGAGATCCTCGGCCCCGTCACACCTAATCCGCTGTGACACAGGGATCGCTATTGCTGTGGGGGAGAGAATTGGGTCACTGAAGCCAGGGGGACCTCCAGCTGAGTCTTCCTGCCAGGGACCCCTCTTCTCTGGTGGTCCCTGGCGTTGGGGCCAGGTTGCAAGGGGGCAGTGGCCCCCAAATCCTTCTGAGTCTGGATCCATCCTTCCCGAGTCTGGACGAGGCAGTTCTTCCCTGTCATCTGCTGTGGCCAGGCCTGGTCTGGGGGTGGCAAGGTGATGATCGGATGGGGTCTTGTCCTGCTATGCCAAGCCCAGAGCTGGGGTGGCCCCCCCAGACCCACAGTGTTGGTTTCTCAGAGTCCATAGTCTCTCATGGTTCATCACTCCCTCCAATTCCCCCC